TATGTATCAAATATAGGAACATATATTTTTCCAAGCATAATGATTTTGATATCAGGAACGTACGTTGACGATGTATCACCTTATTCAACCTTAAGAAGTATATACTGTTACCTATAATCAGTATTGCATATTGTGTGTGCTAAGTTCATTTTTGAAGAAATTTCAGACAAATACAGCCTTTCATGTTACTTGATTTATACTTACATAACAATGTGTTTGATGCTGTTTTAAAATACATGTAAATAATCAACGTTTTGGAGTGATATTTTTTTTTGTGGACTTGGTGACTATAATGTAATTGCACTTTTATTAGTATTATATTGTTGTCATTAAAATTGAGAATGGAAATGGGGAATGTGTCAAAGAGACAACAACCCGACCATAGAACAGACAACAGCAGAAGGTCACCAACAGGTCTTCAATGCAGCGAGAAATTCCCGCACCCGGAGGCGTCCTTCTGCTGGCCCCTAAACAAATATATATACTAGTTCAGTGATAATGAACGCCATACTAAACTCCAAATTGTACACAAGAAACTAAAATTAAAAATAATACAAGACTAACAAAGGCTAGAGGATCCTGACTTGGGATTACATTAATTAATAAATACATTTGTTGGTAACATCATGTAATGATAGTAGGGTACTTATATAATCCTACTTAAATTTCTTGAATGTCTGCTCTATACACTGTTAATCATGAAACATGCCGTCTACAATTTAAAGATGCTGTGTGATGTATGATTTTTAAATCATCGCAGACTATACAAACATGTAATGTTCGCTGATAAATTTAATCAATAGAAGAAGAAAAAATTACTTACAATATAACTTAATTGTTTTTTTCGGTAAGGATTATAATAAACTGACTTAAATATAACACATGTTGCAAATTTAAAAGCAATCTACAGAAAACATGAAACAATATTTGAATAATGATACCTTGAAACTCTATGTACATACATAACGTTATGACCGTAATGGGAAATATCTTAATGTCATTAAAATTGACGTAAAGCATGTTTATTATTGATAGATAGACTAGTAAATCCTACAAATCTGTATTTAAACACTTGAAACATTTTTTTCATTAAAACTAAATTTTTCAGCATTTTTAAAGTTCTTCCTGTTTTGAAAATCACATATGTAATGATTTGACATAAGTCAATTTATCAAAATGGTAGTATATCACATCGATTATCATACCTGGGCAATTCAATTGGCACTTCTCTGTTTTCTGAAAACAACCAAAGCAGAATTATATGTAATATAAAAGCGCTGATCTTTGTATTGATCATTTTCAGTATAAAAAAAATAGTGCTAAAAACACAACGTCCGTTTCTGACGCACGTAATTTGTAAAGTGTCACTATTATTTAATGATGGTACAATCCCAGTTTTGCACATTCACATGAACTACAACTTAAACTTCGACTCGAATTTTACTTTACATAGTCAATTGATTCGAATTGTAGAATGAACTTTAAGACTGTAACCATATATTCATGTAAAAAGTAATATAACAAAATTATCGAATTCTAAGATAAATTCAAAATGGAAAGTACCTTATCAAATGGCAAAATCAAAAGCTCAAGCACATCAAACAAATGGAAAACAACTCTCATATTCTTGACTTGGTACATGCATTTCCTTATGTTGAAAATGGTGGATTAAATCTGGTTTTATAGTTAGCTTAACCTCACACTTGTATGACAATCGCATATAATTCCATTATATTGGCAACAATGTGTGAACAAAACAAACAGACGTAATAGGTAGTTATGTCAAGCATTGTTGCAATCCGATATATAAAGTATTTGATTTACAATCCGGAAGCAGAAAAGATTTACGGACTGACGGAAGGACTGGTCAAAAATAATATACTCCACTGCTTCGTATGGTTGAGTCTATTGACTGTTCCGTCCATTTTGTAATCATTACAAAATTCAATGTATATACTACCTCATCGTGAAAATGGCCATAACGAAAACAAATAACAGTTTCAGATAATTTAGACACTTGAATGTTCACATCACATCAAATATGAATGCAAAATGCATGCCTATTTCATAACTTAATGTAAATATTCTCATATTTCTAAAACTAATTTTATTTCGGACGTAACACATTTATAAAGTGTTATTTTCATTTACTTCAAGGTATGTCTATTTTGGATGCTTCTTATAATGGAAAAAATACATAAACCAGAAACCACCGTTTAATCCACCAAAGTTGACAAAACAGGGTTATGTCAAAGAACGTCTCGTTCTTTTTCTAAAAAAAAGTTCATCGGAAGATAGCAAGACCTTGTTGATAATTATTCCGTATCAACTTCACAAATATTACATGATGGTCTTGATTCTAGGTGCTGACGTTGTTTATCATCTTAATTACGTGTTATAGTGTTCCTTTATTTGTCTTTGTGTAAATTATTAACCTTTATTGTTTAGTCCTTTCTTGGTAACATCCTTTTGGCGTGGCTCGGTACTTATACATACTGTCTTGTGTTATTGTGCTATGGTAATTTTCTATGTTCTTGTCATTCATTTTTGCTTATGTGCTCTGTCTATGTGCTCTGTCTATATGCTATTTTGATTTTTTTTTGTTGACATATTTATTTGTTTTCATAGAGATTAAGATTATAACACAATGTTGGCTGCTGTATTCCTATTTTTAACAATCTCCTATTATGTCTGTTTGTTTTGTTCACATATTGTTGTCAATATAATGTTTTCAATTCGTTTGATGTGTTTGAGCTTTTGATTTTGTCATTGGTAAGGGACTTTCTGTTTTGAATTTTCCTTGGAGTTCGGTATTTTTGTTATATTACTTTTTCTTGTACAGCTTGTAACGGTACCGTAATTTTTTTTTAACTTTGGATTAGTTAAAGGTAAAAACCTTTTATAATAGGATTAAAGATAAATCTAGAACGTTCTATAAGGGGCATTTGGTTTATGATTATACTAATCTATAAAAATAAATCATATAATATCATTCAACTAAATTCATACTTGACATGTAGAGCAGGAACGGTTGAGTCTAATTGTCTAACTTCAGTGTTACAGCTGTGTGTATCAATTAATGTTAACCGTATTATCCTTCTTTGACGTTTTTTGGTCCTTTTTGTTCGTCAAATATAAAAGTGCTTACGATGCCTTTATTTTCATCCCTTTCATCAATATTTTCATTATTGTTTGTTTATCTTTATCAAACCTCATTATATCTTCTATCGAATAGGTAACAGTAGTTTACATATCGTCAATTCTCATAGATCTAGTTAGAAGATACAAATCAAGTTGTAAAACAAACACTGAGTGTATCGCATGAACCCAAAAAGGAATGAGACTGGATGAATCAACAGGGGGAGCGTCTCCCGCTATGCACGCCCCACATAAAACAAATATAATCTTTTGACAGTAGATATATGACAGCTGTTTTTTACTCGTTCCGTTGATTGGTTACGATCGATTTTGTCAGTTTGTATGGACCTCTATTTTTTTAATATACCTTGGAGCTCGGTATTTTTATTTTACTTTTTTTAACGTACAGATATTGAGATATTGCAATCAAGTTTCCAGTTAAAACAAATGATAACCCACAAAATACAACATCATCAAAAATTAATATAAAATCTTAAGATGATGATGATGATGATGATGATGATGATGATGATGATGATAGGTGGCTGCTTTACGTCTAGTAGCAAATAATTAATATGCATATTCAGGACGAGAACATGTTAATGTAATATGAATATTAACCCTACTTTGTACTAGACCAACACGCTTAGCCGGGTTTTTAATGTGCACAAGGTAACATTCATCAAAAAGAGATGTCACCTTACCCGGATACATTATTCTGACTCCGAGCCGACCAGTCTTTACTCTTACTCGTTTATGCCGCATGCTTAGTAGAGAAGCAGCAAATACAAATCTTAAACTCTTTGACCAGGTCGATGTTCGAACCCATGACCTCCCACACTCGAGGCGAACACACTACCATGAGACCACCGAGGCGGTTTGAAATCTTAAGAACTATAAAACTAACGGTACATTGCAATAATAATTTACCGGTCGGTTTTTAATTCAGGATATTTCTATTTCATTTTCTTCTACTTTCCATCTTTATAAAATGGTTCAAAAAGCAAACACATTTTTTTTAAGAAGTACTAAAAACTCAGACGTAGTTTGATCACTAGTACTGTATACGAGTGAATTCATTACCTTTGTAGTAATCCAAGATGTAAGTGTTTACATTCCATGCTCAATACCATGACTTGGACACAACCAAGTGCCGCCTATACTACTGAGATCATCTATGGAAAGGAAACATGGCTCTTCAGATGCACTGCAGCATAACTTCATTTCAAATGATTTTGTGGTAATGTCACATTGCTCACTGCTGCTTTTGATATAGAGCTGGCTAATCTTATTAAGAGCAGATGCCAAGCATTCACTGATACTGGACGCCAAATCTTTCATTATAAAAGATCGATTTCTAGAATGTACAAGGCGAATTATAATCTGGTCATCTTCACAACTGATATACATATCAAGAGATGTGTTTATTACAAACACTGCACATCTGTGAAATAGCATTTTTACATCATGTTCTCCATATGTTTTAATACTCCAAATACTCAGACAGTAACTTATTAATCTAAATGACAATGCCGGGGAAATTATTAATGATGTTGACTGAAATGCTATGCCGATGTTTCTCTGCATGAACGACATGGATTGTAGGTATCCAGTGTCATCTGTTGTACGAACCATGCTTGCTACATAGTAAAAGTCTGGCAGTATTCGGTTATGTTGGGAATCATATCGTTTTGGTTCCACCAAGATATCTAGGTAATTCATCATTGCTAACAAATGATCCTTGTCTTTTTGAAATTTGTGATATTTATGTTGCCTCCATAATTCGTCTATCGCTTGTTTTGAAATCACTCCCTTCTCACTCATAACGTCCCACAAATCTTTTCTTTTTTTGTCGCCTTCACAGAAACGCTTGATTTAAACGCATCGATTAAATGCGTGGGAGACAAAATGATATGCTGATCCAAATTTGGTACATCAAAATATAATAATTTACCGATGGCATGCTGAAATTTGAGGAACACCTTTAGCTCGAAATCAGTTAAAGGTTTAATTGGATGTCCCGAGTTTATCTTTTTCATTTGCACCATTGTTATAATGGGAACTTTCTTTTCAATAAACTTAATCAGCTCTATTTCAAGGGGAATGAAACATTTAGGAAAATGTTGTCCCCATGAAGGTTGAGCCATGGCTTCATCTATTATATTTTTTCGGATATTTGTCATTTCTAGGTCAAGTTTGTCTTTTGCGTCTACAAATATTTTATCTTCCAATACCAAATGTGCTGTCACTTCTGTCCCTTCAAACATCTTTGTTATTTCCCCGAACAGTTCTTTTCTTCTCATTTCAATATTTTCCTATAAAGGAGGACAACTTGATTAATCGATATTTCGTTTAAAGCAATGTCAGCACCAAAATGCTAAGTATATAGAGTCGACACTCCGTTATTGATATTATAGCAAAATATTCCTATACCTATTTTTTTTGAAAACTTATTGTACGACGATAAAACTCGATACTAAAAACATTTTAAAAAATTGTACAGAGACATTATACGTTATCATTTTATTAGACAGCTTAGAAATTATGCTACTAATTCTATAATTGATTTGAATCTCTATTCAAATGATACCACATTTGAACAGATTTATTCAAAAAAATAATCACTTATTAAAGCTTAAAGGGGCATAAGCTTCGAGATTTAAAAAATTAAATATAATTTTGTTTTTGTTCAATCATTAATGACAGTGAAATAGTGATATAATTATTCGCCTTTATCAGCCTGTTTGGTTCAATTTTGTCAAATAAGCTGACAAACATCGGTGATGAATTATTCACTTGCAAGTGAATAATTAGACCTCATTGAATCCGTATTCATGTCACCTTCAATTTATATCGGGTTATATGACCGTCGACAGTCTTCGGAGGTCACCTTGATAGTTAATTAGATGGCTTCTAGACTAAAATACACACAATAAATGCTGATACATATTATCGAGTCCAAGCATTGTAAATTGTTAATTTTAGACTTTTTATAATTTTGAAATACGTTTCAGTATGTTAGAAGTCAGATATGAGAATTTGAATCAAATCGATGAACATGAATTTGACAGCTAATGCCCCTTTACATACTCCACTCTTATCTGTTATTTATGTCAAGGAATAAACTATTTTACAGATTTAACCAACCTTTACACATTTATACAGTCATCTTGGTACCGTCTATTTTATTAACTCTGTATGAAAATATAAAAAAAACAAAAACTTGCTAAACACTTCTTTAAAAAAATACTAGACTTATAATTTGTTACACCAGATGCGATTTTCGTCTCCATAAGACACATTATTTGCACTCGAGTAACAAAAGTTGGAAGACAAATCAAACATTCCGAAAAGGTGTGCCAAATACTGGTACGGCCATCTATTCGTGGGAGTAGAACAAAAGTTCCTCATGTTAGTGCTTCGAAACATTAAAGAAAAATTTACAGAAAATGACCATATAAATGCTATGCATTTAAACACAACAATTGCTGACTAATGGGCGGGTTATACCATCGAGGACGGAAGTGGTATCATCCCAGTTATTGGAAAAACTCAGGGAAGCAGTTACTTATGGTGCTTCTGTAGAACCTCCCTTCAATGTAGGTTTTAAAGTGAATACTTATTGTTTAGTCCTTAGTTTTTCATGGCTTTTAAAACTAATCAAAGTTCAAATCAAATACGAAAATGAAGAGCTTTAAAATATTCACCAAATACGATTAAGGCAATATATGCCTGTGGGAGGAATAGCACTATTGTTTCGAATACTTGAAAATTTTATAAACAGTCAATTTACAGAAAATAACATATCAATGTTATTTCATGTCAACACAAACGTACTTAAAAAAAACTACCAAGATTTGAAGACCATCTCATTAGAATGAATGCACTATCATGACAACTTAATTAATAAAGGATTTGTTTACAAACCTCTCTCCCAAAAAACTACGTATACAAATTTCATTTTACTCGAGCGCATGGAGCGTTTGATGTATGGGAAGGGACAGAAGTGATGTTATTTTCGGGTCACAAATCCAAACCTAGTGAAAGAAATCAACTATAAGAGGAAAACAACCAAACATCCGAAACACTGAACTGCTACAAAAACAAACGCCAAGATACATAGAAACGGACAATTAGATAACAACTGCCATATTCCTGACTTGGAACAGGATATTTTAAGAAAAATTGTGGGTGGAACCTGGTTTTATGGCTAGCCAAACCTCCCGCTTATATGGTAATGTTAAAAATACCGCTAAAATGTCAGCATTACGTGACAGGAATACAGTACATATAAATGCAAGATAACTCAGGACAGAGAAATACATAAATAAATAATATAATAGTACATTTCAACATGTAAACCACAGAATAACAACAAAAACCTACAAATAATTTAGAACAGTACAAAAGTACAGCACAATAGAATTATGAACTGTGCGTCAATCGAATGTATTAATACGTACAAAATTTATAAAGTGTATATTTTTCTATAGAACAATCTTTTTTAGTTTTATTTCAAGAAAATTTTCGTTCAACCTCTTTTTTTTTAAATTATGTGCACATCTTTTCTTTTTCTATGCCTTTGTTAAATACTTTAAACAAATATTTAATACTCCAATCTCAGATTTCTGCAAACCTCTATCCTATGATTTCTAAAAACCGGTTATTTAAAAAAAAGAGCAATGTCATACTTTTCCACAGTCCCGAATAATGTAGATTTTTTTCATTAAATTAAGTTGATATAGAAGATAGAAATGGAACTATTAACTGACTCAGCGCGTCAGTTCAGAACAATAAGGGTGCATGATAATATCACAGTGATATGTTTTCACTTTGATTAAGCTTGTGATACTTGCAATGAAACATGAGGCACTAACGCATCTTCTCTTCGGTCAATTGAGAATTTATAAGCTGTAAAGCTTCAACGACACAAGACATCACAAATAGTTTTTGCCATCTGTGATTCGCAAGCTAAACAACACAAACAATCTTTTTGTTACATAGACGATTGTAAAGTATACTTACAGGCTTCACTTTGTCTTTGTGGGTCAAAACAATCATGATTTTTGGATATCCTTGTCCACCTCCTTTACAATATGTTATTATGGTGTTAGCCCAAAACTTTAGATAATCTGTAGTTGGATAAATAAATGCCAGAGCAGACATGTAAGAAATTAGTGATGTTATGTTACATTTAATATAAAAATAAAGATATAGTATGATTGGCAAATTATCCACCAGACACCAAATGAAGTGGCAGTAAGGAAATATAGAACACCATACGGCCTTCATCAATATGCAAAATCAATGCTCGGATAGTGAGCTATAACAAACCTTACATACCATAAGGTAAAACGACCTGATTTATTTGTTAATTTAACATTGTCATCAAAGTTGTTAGAATATAAGGTATAAACAGTTTTATATCTTTAAATTTGTTATTTGTTATTTGTCCCTACGCGCATGCGCTGTGCTTTTGTCGATTTCCTATCGAGAGGTTTTAATTTTATTGTTAACATTGCCATAAAAGCGGGAGGTTTTGCTAGCCACAAAACCAGATTCAATCCACCAATTTTGTTTAAATTATCCTGTACCAAGTCCGGAAAATGACCATTGTTATATTATAGTTCGTTTCTGTGTGTGTTACATTTTAATGTTGTGTTTCTGTTGTGTCGTAGTTCTCGTCTTATATTTGATGTGTTTCCCTCAGTTTTAGTTTGTAACCCGGATTTGTTTTTTTCGCAATCGATTTATGAATTTCGAACAGCGGTATACTACTGGTGCCTTTATTAAGGTTAAGGTCACTTCATACGGAAAAGATATCCGCAAATAACATGATATAAGAGTACGAGGAAACATTAATTCAATGGAAGTACATTTATGAAGAATGATTTGGATAAAATTAAGGATTTTCGTTCATAAGAAAGAAAATAACCACGTGTATGAAAGTACAACTTATTCATTTAAGTACATACAACATACTCATCATTTTCGTTAACTTATAAGGATCATAAGAGTTTTCTGCAAACGAAAATATTTGGACTAAACTGAGAAATGCAGAAGCGAACTGAACATAAAGACTAGGAAAGGAATTAATAATAGGGAAAAGTATTCCATACCATGAGAAATTCTAAATGTTATTAAAAGAACAATGAGTAAGTCATGTAATTTGGGGAAATGAATTTCACTAGTATATAGAGAAAAATTTTCAGTTGATATTATAAAATATATTGTTTTATAACGAAATGTTTTAAACTATCTGTTTGATATATTCACATCTTAATTTGTGTTAACGCGGGACGACGTTAAGCTTGACATATAGTATGATAACTTTCTATTGTTGAGTACTGTATGCTGCCGCTTGATTACTGTATAAGTTTATTTAGATGTTTTTGCTACTTTATCTAGATGTTTTGTTACATGGTAAATAAATCAGACAGCTGTATAGTTTTACTTTGGTCAAAAACCAATATGTTTTTATAAAGAAGACAAGTATTCATCAAAACTGTTCTCTTCATACATTCTAGCAAACATGGAAATTATTAGTCTTCTTTTTCCTAGGCAGCATCAAAGTAGACTTTATTAGAAATTTTTCTGAAAATCTAAGGAATTTCAAATCTTACCTCTTGCTGTCTTGTGTCCACATCTTCCAGGAAGATATTGCTCAAAAGGACATGGATCATCAAGGGTTCTACTACCATTTATCACAAGTATGTAGATTGCACGGTAAGTCAAAAACGTTTGATGAGTACTGTAGAAAATATTTTGACCTCCAAAATCCCAAATAATCACCGGAGCTATTTGCTTCTGATACAACTCTTTCTTTCCAACTCTCCAGGATTCCTTCAGCAAATTTTCTTGTGAAATTACTTTTATTTCTGTCACTTTTTTGGAAACTCCAAAAAATCCTTTTAAACTTTTTATAACACCAGGATTAGTAATAGCTGTAGAAGGATTGTGTTGATAAGCTGACTTTTTCTATCATCAGTCGACGTATCAAGTGATTCATGATTAATAGGATTGCTTCTACAGGTATCTCATTTATTTTGTCGCAGACGTTCAATCTGTTGGCTATACAAAGAACACATTTGTGTGCCTAAATCTAAGGATAAACTTTTCTGTGGCTTCTTAGCCGCTGATTGGTTATCTTCCTCTGTATGTATACCAACCATTGAACCACATAAAATAGGGGAGGAAGTCTTTTTATCTGTATTTTGGTCTCGGGACGATATGCTAGTGCCATCAACACTTCTTCCTTTTTTCAGCCTAGATCTTGTTGATGGTAATAAAGATCTGCTAACGGTCAAGTCATACAGCGAAAAGTCTGAAATAGTACATTTGTTGAAAATATGTTATTGGTGGTATTTTTATTAGACTGATGCTTACCTACGTTATTGAATTACACTTTTATCTTTGAAAATGTTTTCTATGTAACAGTGCCTTTTAATGAAGTATGCATGCTGTATTCTATAAGTTGTGGTGTAGGCTTTCGTTTTAGTTGGCAACGTTTTATTTAACTTTGGCAGAAAGTCTGGATTCTATCCACAGTGGTACAATGTTTGTTTTAAAAGACAAAATATGATCCTCTGTTATATTATGTGCTAAAACTAGTTCGATGAATATATAAAAAAAAAGAGTAACAACCAGAAGGAATGGAAGGGGAGTGTAGATAAGCATGTATAACATCCATTTGTTGTCTCTACCAGCAGAGTACTTCTTTTCCTAAAACATTTCCTCATCTTATTTTTTTTCAAATCTGCAAAGAAAAATGAAGAATGCCGCCCACATCCCCCGACCTCCACCCCTTGATAAGACTAAAGCATCGTCGGTGCTGTGATCTAGCAATTCCTTAGCAACAGGTAGTTGGACATCTTTTTTGTCTCATTTTTTTCAATGTTTTTTCTTGATACAAGATTCCGTAAGACATTTATATAGAGGCAACAATCATAACTTTGGATAAGTGATTTTAATCGAAAATGTTAACAGAGAAAAAAAACAAAGGACTGAAAAAAAAAAACAGACAACACAAGGATTGAAATGCAGAACGTCATCCTTTTTGTTATTACATGTATTTCACTAAAAATTATCAGTGTTATATTTCCTTTTTGAAATCACCCTTACAGCTCATGCATTTCTCAGAAAAAAAATGTACTTCTTCTAAGGTACTTCTGACAATCAAAGTTATCAAAATCACTGATGGAAAGACTGAAAGAATTGATATATCACTCTTGCATTAAATTCAGAAAGATAATTAGGTAAGCATTTTTTTTTAACTCATCTTAGGATCGTTTATTGATTTTTAATAAAAAGTATATGACTCTGAAGATGAACAGTTTTATTTCATTTTCATAATACAGTTATATAACTAAACAAAATTGTACTGTATTGCCCAAAGATGGAGAATTCCTCAATATTTATACAAATTCCTATGATATTTCAACTTTTAGAAGGGGTACTGATTTTTAATATCTTCTTTTTTCCAAATAAATAATTTTGACATGATTAGAAAAAGAAATTTTCAAATGAAGGTATGGTTTATTCTTTTTATTGAAGTTTAACTTAATAATTTCCAGAAAGAAGCATTGAAAATACGCATATTCAGCAACAGAAATTAAATAACTAATTTTAATTAAAATTGGTGTTCATTCGTCATTGAGGGAAAAAAAATCCTAAATTCAAATACATGTACCTTTAACTGTTCAATACCAATCTAAAGGGAAATAAACAAATAAATTTGATTGCAGAAAATGTCAAGGTTAGAGTTATGCATATTTGTTTATTGTGTCCAGCAAATTAATGATAATTAAATTTAAATTAACCTAAATCGTTGACTTATATCAAATTATTATAACACTGCATTTTTTTAATCCTTAATCATTCATCTTTGAGACATAATTTACAGAATAATTTTACGTAGTGTTTAGTAAGTACAGGTCAAAAGAGATTATAAGTATACTACTGAGGTCAATAGTTGACAATAAATATTATATTAAGATATAAATTGAGTTGTATAATAAAATGTTTATTCAATAATGTAATACAAGAGATATTAACTGTGGTCAATCAAGATTGGAATTAAAGTTGAGGTGATTCCACAGTTAAAACTCCCACCTTTAAGTAAAATTGTTTGTAAATAATGACAGTTGTCTATCATACTATATTGTATTCGTACTCCTACTTGCTTAAGGAACGAATTGGAATAGTATCATATCAAAAAAGTGTGGAAATCAACATTGATATCAATATACATTTTGTACCAAATTTTATTAAATAACTTACAAATTTTAACTATTAAACCAAGAGTTCCAAATGGTTAAGTTGAAGTCATCCCTTCGTAAATTTTAAGGACGCCATCACGAGTTGGTTGACCGTTATGGAATAACCGTTTCACAGATGATATCGGATATGTTCCTTATGTCGTAACTACAGTACCCTTCCCTTTTCACGAATGTGACTTACCGAATTAGACTATTTACCGGATTTGTAATAACATAAGCAACACGACGGGTGCCACATGTGGAGCAGGATCTGCTTACCCTTCCGGAGCACCTGAGATCACCCCCAGTTTTTGGTGGGGTTCGTGTTGCTTAGTCTTTAGTTTTCTATGTTGTGTCATCTGTACTATTATTTGTCTGTTTGTTTTTTTATTTTTGGCCATGACGTTGTCAGTTTGTTTTCGATCTATGAGTTTGACTGTCCCTCTGGTATCTTTCGTCCCTCTTTTTTTTACACAAGCATATTGATAAAATACTTTCATAATTCTTATCAACTGATAAGGTTTGATATATCAGTTTTTCATATTAATTCATCAATAGCAATTTATTATAAATTTTGATTTACAAAGGAACTATATGCATGTGTATATATAAAAGTTAAAGTAGCTGTTCGACCAATATTTTCTTTAGGGTAAATTGCATGTCAAAAGTTGGCAGTAGGTGATTAAAATGTTGTATAAAGTTTCTGCAAGTCTTAAAAATACATAATTAGTTTCATTTTATATCATCAACTTAGAATTCTGCACCATCTCTTAATCCAGAGTGATCAAATAGATCCAGCATGGCTGAATAAAAAAACATTAAAAGAACAACAAAAAACATTTTTTTTTTAATTTCAAACAAATTAATCAAAATCATGTATGTTAACAATGTTCATCCAACATAACTATTTCTGTGTTGAAAACAGCAGGAACTTAACTTATGGTTAAGCGAATGAACTAATAAAAAAAGGTAAAGTAAACATTTTAAAATCAAAATCATTCATGTTCAAACTTACATTTGACTATTAAAATATAACTATTTTAAAAATTTTGTGGGAAGTTTAATGTGTTTGTGAACGGATTATATAATGATGTTTTGTTTTCCACTAAGTAGGGACTCTGTAGGATTTTTTGACGTAATTGCATCAAACTTAAACTGTACATCATTTTAAAAGAGTCATTTAGGTAAAACGGGAAAAATATTTTGGCGGGAAAAAATGTGATTTGAATGGTTAAGGATGAGTTATTGCCTTGATGGAATAAAATGTCTATCTGTTATCTGCCACTTTTTGGACGTGACTTAATTGCAGCATTGTCATGAAAACAAGCAGATTTAACATGGCAAATATCCTTTAAACACTGATTTTAAGTACTTTAAGTCTCTAACAAACAAAATAGTATACTACATTAATTGTACATCTGTTAGAAATGGAAAATCATGGCCTCTGATAATTACTGACAGCTTTAATAAGATGGACGATTTTTGGCGAAAAAATTCCTAATTCGACTTGCTTGTTAAAAAGCATAAAAGTTGTGGCCAATTTGTTTTTACATTGAACAATCTCTAGTTAAGCAATGTCAGTCAAAATATTCTGTATATTATCCCTTTACGGACATTTCAAGATTGCGTTAACTTTTTTAAGGTCAAGAATTAGATTTTAATACGTATACAACTTTCGTGCAAGAAATTAATCTATATTGTAGTAATAATATGAACAGCATGTAATTCAGGAGGACCGACTGAGAACAAATTTTGACTGTTCATGCTATTATAAAGATAATGATTAATGAGGGTATAAAAACAACTGAGAAGTCTAAGAACTCCCTACAGAAATCCCTTGATTTTCAATGTCTCATGCTATCTATATCTCTTATTTATTATCTCTAGATTCTGTAATACAGATTTGATAGCACCGCTAAAGAACGACATTCTACTGACTTTGTTATCAAATCACTGTATTGCAATTCGTTCATTGATATTTATGAAATCAAAAATGCTACTCCTAGTGAGGCTACTATGTTTAACTGTGACATGATATGTGACATCTATGTGGATGTTTTCTTAAATGAAAACTATGAAAGTGTTTTATTAATTTTATTCTTAAATTTTTATATGAATAAAAGAAGAATAGTGGTATGCGTAAATGAGACATCAGCCCAACGACACAAAAGACATTTAGAGTTCGACAAAAAGTCTTCAACAGTAGACAGAATTCTATCCAGTATGTGAAATTCTAAATCGACCAGTTTTTTTTTAAATGGTTACCATCTGTCAATTACAGGGAACTTCCAAAAATGTAAAAAATGAAAACGAAAAAAATGTATCTTAATGTAAGTTAATTTTGTATGAAGAAAAACACGTGCACCTTTAATTGTTGTTTTTTTTTTTTTTTTTTTTATATGAATTATGCAAAATCTTTCTTTTTTTACATAACTCTAATTGTTTATCTTTGTCGTTTAAAATTATCATCGTTTTATGTACTCCAAGAAATTGACGAAACAAAACGTGGACCTTGTATATTGATAGTTTTCTTTATAAAAACCCAGAATCCATGTACATGTATAGGAAGAATAAAGATAACTTTAATGGCTTGCATTCGCCAACAGTCAATTCGGGATTAAAGATTGTTATTTTCTGCGAGAATGGAGAGGGGTACTGAGTTCAAACCCCGGCCCGATGGAAACCGAAAAACTTTACAATTAGGCGGATGTTGTTATTTCATTTGGACCCGCTTCATTTAGTTTATTTGTAAGTGTAGTCTTTTGTATCGTATTATATGAATATCTGTATGTGTATATTATACTTATATTTGTATGCATGCATGTTAACTCAAGCTGCCAAAATTAAACTATTACTGGTTTAAACCCTGTAATCGTGGTCAAAACCGTAATCTGCTATTTAATATTAAAAGTTCACATTATAATGAACAATTGTCCTTAATATAATTTCACATTGATGAGACCACACCTTCATGATAAACTACCTAAACCTAACAAAATATAGGACAGACTAACAGAACAGAAAATATAAGACCCCCTAATATCGTAGGCGGGCATACAAAAGAATGTTAAAACCACAATAAGCTCTTCGTTATTTCATATAAGAAATTAAAGCTTCAGTTTCTTCATTGTTAAGTTTAAGTTAATACATCTGTACCCAATACTTGACTTTTATGTATCATTATTGGTATCTATATTTGTCATTCATTTAATATTTCCGTCTATACGTACTATCTCGTGATTTCGCTTGTTTTTTGTCAAGTGGTTTTCTTTGTTTGAATCAAACAACTGTCAAAGTTCAAGCATTTCCTACAATTGTTGTAAAATTGTGAAAGAACATTGTATGAAGAAAAAAAAGTGTAAACAATTATTTCCGCATTAGTTGAAAATTCCTGTTATTAGTTTTATGTTGTTATATTCGGTGTGATGTAGAGCTTCATATATTGCAATGTTGCAATCTAGATGTATTCTAGTTATTTGTGTCTTTTGGTTGCTGTCTCGTCGGTATATCGTTTCAACGTAATCATTTGTTAGTTTATCATTTAAGTAATCAGTCTCAGACTAACAAGTCTGTTATATTGTATGGAGCTCCCTTGTGAATTTTGGTTGTCGTTCGGTACATTTAAGGCAATTCTAAGATATATGAGCTTGTCAAAAAATTAAACAATCTTCATAGTTAAGAAATATATTTTAAAACGTGTACAAAATTATGCCCCACGTTAAGAAGTTTTGTCCGTTTTCTACATTTTATATAAAAAACGAGGTTAAGTCATGCATCTTTATGTGGAAAAGTCGCTAATCTTTCAAAGCAAACAGTTATTTACTGCCATTATCCCCTTAACCAGTCATAGAGTATTTACAATACCGAAAAACAGAATTTTCACAGATATCCAAAATACCCCGTCCTCGAGCAATAGTTGATATATCAGGAACAACAAACTTGCTATTGCCCTCATAACCAGTCAATACATGTATAATATTTCACCAAAACCAGTCAATACAGGTATTATATTACACCGTTTTATTTGTCTTATAGTTTTCATAGTGTCTTGCTTTTAAATGAAAGTTTATGAAAAGTAAATGTCAATATTACAATTTCTCAAACAGTTTTTCTTCATTTCACAATAGGGTGATCAGAAACGTATGTATATGCGTAACATGTTTTGTAAAAAAAAGACTAAATACAAATGCATTCAAAGCATGTTAATACATTCAGCCAAGGCTGGTCAATTCACATCAAATAATACTTATTATCCATGTAAGCATCATGCTTTCCAGATATGCTCGAAATTGACATGATCAATTCCAGATCCTTTTTCGTTTTTTTAAAGGTAACAATAGATGACGTAATCGTGATAAAAATAGACGTAAATACTACTTAAATTTTTAGTGATACCAATCTCAAATGGGACGCGCTTTTTGTATAAAAATAATCTCTATACATGACAGTCCAAAATTTAATTATATTTATCTGTAGAATTGAATGGGACTGGTATATACTGCGAAATTTTTCCACAAAAGCCTAGATTTTTCAATACATCTGAAATGAATGCATTTGTTTGCTGCTTAACACCATTATTTTGATTTTAAACATATCTTAAACGAATTCGGGTATGCAATACTTAATATCTTATGTTTTCTCATATTTAGATTTCTGCAAAGAAATTAGCAAAATGGTTTTAAGTGCGATGTGCTTGTTAGAATACGACCAATTCAGAACATTAACAATACAAACGTAACAATGGATCATCAAAATCGGACTTCGTGTGCTATTTTGTCGTAAAACTATAGTAGACGATTATTCTGTAGAATATTGGCTTTATCTATATTTAATTTTTAATGGGTTGGTTTGGATGAAAAGTCATTTCTTTTTTGTATCAGGAAAAAAGGGTTTGCCAAAGTTGCACTGTGGAAGATATAACGTCGGTAACGTCAGAATCCCACAGAGTCCCTACACTAAGGTCCACCAACTGAAAAAATTGAATCATTAGATTCTTTTACTAACGAGATGTACCTAATGGAAATCCAATGTATGACAATTTTACATAAGTGCTAACTAGGGATAATAACAACTGATCATTCATACGAAATTGATACCTACCGTATAGCGGGTTATTTTCGCGGGTGTAAAATTTTGCGATTTTAATTGAATAAGGTATACAAATTATTTTGGCGGTTATTATTTTTAACGGATTCAAAACTTTTATCAATACCATTGCATGTGCACTTTTAAATTGGCGGAATTTATTTTGGCGATATCCTTTTATCTGCGAAAATAACCCGCTATACGGTATTAGATTGAGACCATCTCATGAGTGTTCTAAATATCTTATAAGTCGATAATTATCTGAAATACGTAATCTTGTGGTAACTCTTTTCAATGTTTTGCCAATTTATGAATGTCTTTCCCATTAACTTTATTTTTCAACAATCAACATTATACAACTGGTTTCACTAGAAATTTATAAGCAGCCGTGGTTTACCGATGTTTTTATCTCATAATTCCGTTCACAACATACAAATCAAGGTAAAACAAAATTTTCGCAAATCCCATGAACTCCAAAAGGAGCGAGAACGGACAACACATAGGGTTAGGGTATTCTGCTATGCAGTATAAACTCATCAAAGAAGCCGGGCGTTTAATTTTGAACGCCAGGGGAGCTTTTCGTCTATTAAAAAACTAATCCATGGTGCTCAAATTAAAACAGTTGGTAGGACAAATCAAAAACGTGGCGGAAGTATATCAAGCAGTGTTGTATGTATTCATGTTTTGAATAGAATAGGCTGTTAAGGATATACGATAAACTAGAAAGGGCAAATAATAATGCATCCAAATTTAACGCGTTATTTTTTGCAACGATGCTAATGATAAGCATAAGATAAGTCACGGATTAAGGGAGAACTCAAAGATTATCATTTAATTGCAGATATGAACAAAAGACATAATGAACAAATTTTTGAGGTGAGGACATGGTTTTTGGAAATTTGAAATTAAGTTTGTTTCCTTGACATTAAAACTGAAAGTGGTAAATATTCATAATTTTGAGCTTACATTATTAGTCAAACACACAATCATACAGACATGCAGATGACATAAAATATATAAACAGAACAGCATAAGTTATTGCTGTTTTATCTTGTATATGAACAATTGTGTGTTATTTGCAAAATTACTTTTGATATCAATTATGCATGTTGGTGGTTACCTTGTTTACCATCCAACCATTGTTTGGTTGTTTTCCCGTCCATAAATGAAAGATTATTGTATTCCGTTCTATTCCGTCTGTTGCAATTCGAAACTTTGTTGGCCCTTTTCCCATCAGATATCTGGCAATTGTTGTTTTTCCTGTTCCCTGTTCTCCTACCAACATTATCCTCGCTTCATAGTGATGGTAACTTTCGTCTTGCAGTAAACCAGAAAATACACTAGCAGATTGTTTGTCAAGATTCTGAACTTCCAATGGTAATCCTACAGTAAGGTATAATTGTTAAGATTCATAATGTCTTATGACTTTCGATGGAGTTTATCATCACCACATGATATTCAGTTACTGTACAACTAAACATGATTCATTAATATTTTATCTAGCACATAACGAAATACTCGGAATATTCGAGTATATGTGAAAGCCAAGGCTACCTGTAATAACTTGTAATTCTGATCAAAGTAGTATTTTTCTAAACAATAACTACTTATTTCATTAACTCTTCTTGTAAGTTTGGTTAGTTAGGTATTTTTAGGTTAATAAGAGCTCGCACATAGAAATGTATAGGCATGATGGTGTTTAAAAGACATATAATACAAAACAAAGATACAAACAAGTGAAAGAATAAAACGTGTGAAAATAAAATAAAAACAATTACCAAAATTGAATTAAGAAAGAAAATGACACATACCAGCTTTCTGGAATTCTCCATATTCCTGTAAATAATATTAAAACTATTTGGTTTAATGTATGAATATGTAAACATATGCAAGCATTTACACAAATATTTACAGGGTCAAGAATAACATATAAAATAACTTTTTTTCTGCCGGTTTGTACAGTTCAAGATACTAGTATTTCATTGATTGATCTAAAGATACTATTTTCAGTAGTTGAAAAACGATTTACCTCTCCGGAGAAAGTTCTCAAATTTTCGGTTGTCCGAGTAGTTTTATGGTGGACATTTGTTTCTCGAGATCTATTGGTCACATTTAATTTTCGCGATGGTGGGTGGGGATTATGTTTTGTGTTACGTTAAAAAAAAGCTTTAATAATTCATTATATTTTTAAGAAATGATAAAATACATCAACAGTGATAAATAATGAAACATATATTAGCCGCTAAATTACTGATAGAAAGTAACCCTACTATTTCAGAACGAGCCAACATGCATCTAGAGTGTTAAGTCATTTTAGTCAAAGTGGATTTGTTTGTTTATTACAAATTTTTGATGATAGCATACCTGTAGTAACTTCTTTATTGATCTTTTTATCTCTTTCATTTCTTCCGAATCGCCTATTCTTTCTTGTACAACATCATAAGGTGTTTTGTTATCCTGTGATGCAGAACATCATTTTTAGTTTAAAAGTTTTCACATTTTCCCTTGTGACTTTGATATATCTAAAGTAGGCATGCCAATCCGATACAATTAATCTTGTTATCGGTCCACCACTCTGCCAAAATGACCTTACGAAGTATCTCAACTGATGAAACTTATTTGAACAGTTAAATCTTCTTAATGAGAGAAAATACCAGCAATATATAATCATTAACATATGTGGGGAGATGAATTAACTGCAAGATAGGTTAAAATTGTCGTCGTAAGAGATACAACCTTCTGTCCCCTAAGGAAATCCGATCTGTGTTTTTTCTTTCTTATGTTGGTATGATAAAAGTAGCATAAAATCAATAATACCCATGTCACAAAGTACACAAATGAAATAGCCGAAATAGCATGAATATATCATGGAATTAGCAAGGCAATATAAATAATATAAGTTAAGAGGAAAATAATCTCACTTTATCTACTTACCACATCTGTGATACTGGGATCACTGCCACTGTCCATTAAAATTTGTGCTATATCTAAATGTACACCAAGAGCAGCTTTGTGTAATGGAGTCATGTGATCCTTGATATGAAATATATTAGCAATTAGTAGTTTGTTGAACTTAAAACGTATATTAAGGTCCAGTAAAATAAGTTTGTTGTAAAATCATGTACATGTACTAATGAACAATTTGAGTCAGCATGAGAATCACATGACATTTCTGTTTACAAGTACTTTCTAAACGGAAACATTACTACATTTTTTGTGATAGTTTACTCTTGTTTGTTCGCTTGGCAAAAAAGGCATATTTAATCTAATTAAAACAAGCATTGATATCTAACGGAAGCATTTCTCCACATCATAAATGCTATTAAATCAGTAATTATATTATTTCAATTGGATTAAATATTGGCTAAACTTTCTAAAGTTTGACTTTATTTTTTCTTTAGTTTATCAATTTGTTTATTAATTTGTTTTATTGGTTGAATACACTGCATATTGACATCTATTTTTTTCCTGCAAACAAAAAGATGTGTTGTCTCTTTTTTTATTATGAAATTTCGCCATTTTATCATTCATTTGCCTTTATTCCAACGATTGTATTAATCCAACACTTATAATGTACTCGTATATGTGGACCAACTCCTCCTATAAAGCAAATATATTATTTTGCATTGAAGTAAGATTTAATATAACCAAGTCGTCTCTATTTAGAGGAATACCCAGTTCTTCATATTCAAATCACTGCCACGGTCTATTAGTAAACGGACTATATCTGCATGTCCCCTTCCAGCAGCCAAGTGAAGTGCACTGTCACCTAACTGGAATAAAACATTTAAGTAGGTTAAATAAATGTTTAAGACAATTTCACATGTTTTATAACACGTAGCTGTCAAATATCTATCGCATGAATCGATGTAATGATGTATTCCTGTAAAATGTTACGTATTCCACACACAATACAAAAAGAATTATTCTGTTCTCCAAGAGTATTACTATTTCAAACAATTGTTTTTTTCTTCTTCTTTTAAATGAATGCCTCAGGTGAGCATGGTGAAATTAGTTCATTCCTTTGGGAAAAAAACTCATTAAAGATATCAGGATTATATCTAATACGCCAGAAGTGTCTTTCGTCTATTTCAAACTCATCTATGGCGTTCAATCAAAATATGCCAGGGAGTAGGATATCCTTAATGTTTCGAATAACTGAACATTTTAACGAGATTGATCCACTGATTATGTATCAATAATTATTCAATATACCAAGGAGTTTCCACCCCAGGCATTTTATTTGCTGCAACCTGGCCTTTCGAAATATTTATCAATAAAGTAAACTCGTTTGACATTTGGCAATTGTTATAATTTCAATGATTTTGCAGATGGTTCATCCATATAAAGTGGTTACTTGGTCCGCAAATACTACATTTGTTAACATGTGGAATGTTGGTGTTAAGCGCCACATTCAGGCCGACCTTCAGCAGTAAAACAGGCGAACATGGCAGGACCGGGTTCGAACTCACTGTTGACAGACTTAATAATACAATACTACAATGTGTATCTTTTATCTACGTCTGACATTCTGAAACACTGAATTGAAATACAAAGGAAGTTTTCCTGTGCAACATTAGGGAAGATATATTTTCATATTTTACGATTGAAAAATATCGCCACGAAAATATTCCGCTTTGCATAACATTTAAAATGAAATAAATACAATAGTTACCCGGTTTATGTTTGAATCACTTCCTCGGTCTAGTAACAAACACACGATCTCAATGTGTCCAAAGGCAGATGCTTTGTATAATGCAGTCAGGTTATTCTAAATTAAAAAAAAAAATAGAAAACAACAGAAAAAGAACAGCAGCTGCGGTAATAATATGTGTTTTTCTTGAAGTCATAAATGAAGGCTTTAACTTTATCATATTCTAAAGGGTATTAACGGCAAAACGATACAAAACAAGCAATAAGAAGTTGATTCAAACAAGATGTCATATACAACAACAATTAACAAAAAAACCAACATGAATCCGTTGAGAGGACCTGTAACAATCCTAAATACACTAGAAATGAAATGTGTCTGCTCCCCATATGACACATGTCGAGTTGCTCGTGAAAAGTAAACCTCTAGTAATAAATCTCATTCTATGTTGAAACGACGAAAAAGATACGCTTTAAGACATTTCAATTATATACATATTAAAGTGTGCATTTCAGATTAGAAGGTATGTGAGACTTTTTACACTCTATGACAATGTATTTATGACACTTTCTGTCCCAATAACATCAATATCTTAAAAAACATCCAAGCATTAATTGTAATGAAACAGAAGGATAAAACGAACAAATGGCTTACTTTATCCATGTATTTCAAATCAGCCCCTTCGTCTAAATATTGCTGAATTTCTGCTACTTTTCCATACATTGTCGCACTAAGAAACTTCTGTAAGTAAACATAACAATTCATAAGTAATATTCATTTTCACATTTTTTCTAGTCTTACTTATATTTTTTCACTATTGTACATATTTGTTTTCTGCAGTTTGTTCACATAACATTCACTTTCATATTGGTTGGGGCAAAGTTATTTTTGTCTTCAGAATTCTCATTTAAGAATTCTCCTTGCAACCCCCTCCCCCCACATCCCAATCCCCGAATATCAAATGGTCATTTGTCACATATATCATATGGATTTACAAATATCTATTCTACTAAAATAGCGAGGTCCAATTTGTTAGCCGGTATGACGTTAAAACTAAATATAGACATTAGCGTTGATTAAAAATTACACCATTCCAGGGCCTTTGCATTTCCACATAATTAATATTACCAATAATTGACAAGTTCTGGGTCGAACCCGATAGCGATACCAATAGTATATGTCACATGCAGTTTCCGGTTGTAGTTACAAAAACCAGGACGGGTTCAAACCGAAAGATTTTGAAAGCAGAGAAAACTGTGCACCTTATAATCAGCATGACTTTATCAGATGACAATACGAATACTAAAAATCCAGGCTAAAAGTAAGGTGTTGGTATTTAATTCATGAAAGGTAAACATTTTTTTAGGCTGTCAGCTGCAACTGTATAACAAAAAATTCCTACGTAGTCCCTAATAATTGTTGAAATGTGCATCTGGTCAATGAAACGGATACTTTACTTGCAACCAACTAGCATCATTTGGACTCTGGTGGATAGTTGTATCTTTATTCATTGTTATTACCTCGTTCAAGTCTTCCATTTTCTTCCTCTGTAATCTGCAATATAAAAAATCAAATTATTACACACGTAAAAAAGTGGTCTCAAAAAAAAAAATATGTCTACCACATATACATTTAAGGAAGTATCCAGCAACTAAATATGTTTGCAATCAATCTAAACATACGTTTACCGGTTTGGATTTAGTACAGTGTAACTTTATGTGGATTTAACTATTATTTTAGTTCCTATTTAGTTCATGAACTGTTTTGGTTCTCATACATCCTCGGCTTTCAAATATCCGGATTTGAACGTGTCTGATGAAGGTAAATCCGGCAAAGTGCTTCGGACCAATGAAACTTATAAAATGTTGTTTCCCCTTTCATCAACACTCGGTCAATACTGCTGCTGGTGGACTATCAGTCCCCGATGGTATCATCTGTTCAGTAGTCAACACTTCGGTACTGACATTATTTATAACCAACCTTTCTTGAATTGTCAGTTTGTATATTTAGAAATCATAAGGAGGTAAGGTTTCAACTCCCTTAGGCAAAATTGACCTTAAGTGGATTTGCTATTATTTTTAGGTCTTTTTGGTCATGTAGCTCTTCAACTGTTTCGGTTGTTATATATCGTTGGCTATCAAATATTTGGAACATGCCTGGTGAAAGTAAATCCAGCAAAGCGCTCCGGATGCATGAAATTTATAAAGTTATGTTTTCATTTTAAGCATCACTGGATCAAAACCGCTGCTGGTGGATTATCAATCCCCGAGGGCATCATCTGCTCAGTAGTTAGTACATCGGTACAGACATGATTTACAACAAAAGATATTATCAAGAAGCTAAGGTGTCAACTCCCTTGGGCAAAGTTGACATTAGATGGATTTGGCTATTACTTTTAGATTATTTTTAGGTCCTTTCTGATCATATTCCTGTTTATGTTTGTATACATACTAGGCTTTCAAATATTCAACTTTGATCTTCTTGGTGAAGAAAAATCCAGAAAAGCGATTTGGACACATTGACTTTATAAAGTGTTGTTTTCATTTTTTCTACCTGAAAAGATCGATCTTTTACAGTAATCAGAAAAATACATAATAGAGACCTTCTCTCATTTAAAAAAAATTAATTTAACATAAATTCCGAACTCCAAGGAAAATTCAAAACGGAAAGTCCCTTAATAATTGGCAAATTCAAAAGCTCAGTCACATCAAACGAATGGAAAACAACTGTCATATTCCTGACTTAGTACAGGCATTTTCTTTTGTAGAAAATGGTGGATTAAACCTGGTTTTAGAGCTAGCTAAACCTCTCACATGTATGACAGTCGCATAAAATTATATTGACAACAATGTGTGAACAAAACAAAACAAACAGAAATAATAGGTAAAAATGTAAACAATTCGGGTACAGCAGTTAACGTTGTGTTATAATCTCAATAATATAAAAACATACAAATATGTCAACAAAGAAAAACAAAATGGGATATAGACAAAGCACATACGCAAAAATGAAACACAAGAATACACAAAATGACCACAGCACAACAACACAAAGGCGGGATCTACAAGTATCGAGCCACGCCTAAAGGATATTACCAAAAATGGACCAAACAGTAAACGTTTCTTATTTACAAAGACAATAGAATTTATGCTTCAGCATAAATTCGGTTATTAGTGTAAGCATAGATTACTTGTGTTATTAGCTGTTTCATCTCTATTAAATGTAGGCTATCAGATGTATGTTTGTCAATGCGCAATATGACTGCGCACGCGATCTTTTCATTCCGACATTTGAAAGAAACAGACGGAATATTATTTGGTGATTTAAAGATTTAAAGAAAATTATTTTGGTGATTAAAAAGATATAGGATCCACATTGTGCAGGTTTTGGTACCACTTTTCTACAATTGGAACTCAGGTGGTATAATTAGAGTTAGTCTCCCGCAACAATTGTGGGATATTTAATAGAATATCAGTGTTTTATAACAAATTAATTTCAATTTATTGCTTATTTTGCTTATTTTTACATGTTATAATACTTTTACTATCCGGAGGTAGCGATCGGTGTTTATGTATAAGAATTAAGCCATTAATTTTAATTTTATGTACTGTTACATAGAGATATACACGTTTTATTCCATTTCATTTCAACGCTTGACACCGATCTGCACATTTCACTCCGGCGGTCACAGCTTAATGCTAATTGAAGGTTACGCATGTTCAACATAATTATTTTTTATCTCTTCATGTATGCATCACCATAACCTTAACTGTAAGCATCATTATATATGCAATCGCAACAATTTGTTAGCTGTCTTATTATCTACCTCAGGTTATTACTATCATTCTAGATGTTATTATCATCATTCTAGATGTTATTATCATCATTCTAGATGTTATTATAATCATTATAGATAGTTATATATAGTACATGTGTTTTAAATATCGTCTAGTATTCTGTTAAATTAACTCTGTGTCCGTTTAATTACTTTGACCGATTTTATAATATAAATTAGCATATATCACCTCACTTGCGCTATTTTTAACAGCATCGTCATTCGGTACAGATTGTTTAATCAGCCTCCTCGCTCGTGTAACCCAGAATAATTTATTGTCGGAAGCTGACCGACATTTGTGCAACGGTATCACTTCACGTAAACACAAATATTTCATTCCTGACAGATGAATGTTAAACTGGTTGATTATAGGCGTCAATGAACTTTTAAAGTTCGCTAATTGACAAATTCTTTATTTATAGTACAAAGCAATATTCTGTTTTGGTTGTTCAATTTAATCTTATAGTTGTTTGGCACTAAGATGAATACAAGAAGGTCATCCAAATGATGGAAAGCCACTGCAACATAAGGAGCTGCATCTAGACAAGAGGAAACACAACTTTAACCAGGTTCAGTACCAGCATCTAACGATCCCCCAACTTCAGGAGGATAGTTGTTCTTTTGATGTAGTAAATCGACCAGGTAATGCAATCGATAAAGATCATTCAAATCTCACGCAAACAACTAGTTACTCTCCTAGTCTTGATTCAGATGTTAGTCAGTACTTAAAATAAAATAAAAAAATCAAACGGGCGAGTATGTCATCTTTGTTCTACTTAGGAACAACTCTATAATTGATAATGATCAGTAAAAAGTGTCATATGAACAGGGGAAACTTTTTATTAAACCAGTTTTGCCTCATACAAAAATAACAAATAAAGAAATTGAACTTGAGTATAAATATATTGTTGCTGAGATACTTTTGCAGTGGAATTAAGCTCGATATAAAGTTCAACGGTTTGGGACTAGGCATTCGACAACTATGTTAATATAGCAGTATTATTATATCCTCAATCGATTTGGCTGTCATTAAAATGAATATTATGTTATCTACGTTTAATGTTTACAATATATACTTGATAGTCCTTGTACAACTGTTCACATTATTTAACACACATTTCGATGTTTCTCTTTCGAATACAAAATCTTTCTAATTAGATACGTTACAGTTTGAGATAATAAATCCTAACGTAATGTATCTACAAGCTGCGATGCCGATTACGATTTGAACTTTTCTTGACCTTAGAAATGATATATAGTAAATGTAAGGAAACCGTTAACGCTCTGAGATTGTAAGTTCATGTCAACGATTTGCAGACGATAATCTTTTCAAAGATTAAAACTTTTGGTGATCAAGTTTGTAAAAGTAACTTGCAATCGAAAATAGTGTACAAACGATCTCTACGCTAATGATTAATACTAATAAAAAAAAAATATTCTAACAAATGAACTAAATTACAAATAATATTGTCATCTCGCCAGATATCAAGAAAAATATATATATTATTGAACTCCATTTAATTTTATCTAAGACTGACCAGTGCTTTGAAGGAACCACACACGTTATTGATGAGCGGCCTAGAGATGCTTATCCTATTTTTGCTTAAACGAAATAACTTACTGTTTACAAGTTTAGACCTGTCACTGGTCAATTGCTTTGTTATAAGTCCCCTACCGATTGAGTTTAGGGGGACTTAAGGTTCTCACTATGTTCGTCTGTCTGTCTGTCCACCTGTCAATCCGGCAAATCAGTCTTCTACATTTTTGTATTCGTGCTTGAAGATATCGGTTTGATATTTGGTGTATTGTTTTATCATGACAAGTTACTGACCAAGTATGAATGTTGTTCCGGTCTGATGATTTTGTGCAGAGTTGTGGTCAAATACACACAAATAATTAGTTTTCCGCACATTTTTTCGTCATACTTGAAGACGTTGATTTGATAATTGGTATATAGTTTTATCGTGACAAGTTACAGATCAGGTTCGAATTGTGTTCCGGTCTGATGATTTTGTGCAAACTATGGTCCTTGGACTAAGAGAGTTCATTAAAATAATCAGTTGTCTGCACATGTTTTCGTCATGCTTGAATATATTGATTTGATAAATTGTATATAGTTTTATCATGATAAGTTACAGACCAAGTTCGAATTGCGTTCCAGTATGATGATTCTGTGCAAAGTTATGGTCCTTGGACTGAGAAAATGCACTCAAATAATCAGTTTTCCGCATATTTGTTCGTCTTACTTGAAGATATCGATTTGATAATTGGGATATAGTTTTATCATGACAAGTTACAGATCAAGTTCGAATTGTATTCCAGCCTAATGATTTTGTTCAAAGTTATGGTCCTTGGACTAAGAAAATTCCCCCAAATAATCAGTTTTCCGCAATTATTTTTTTTTTTTTGTTATTGCTTGAAGATATTGATTTGATAATTTGTACATAGTTTTATCATGGTAAGTTACATATCAAGTTCATATTTTGTTCCAGTCTGCTGATTTTTGTGCTGAGTTTTGGTCATTGGACTTAATATTCTATAAATTCACACACATTATCAGTTTTCCTCAATTTTTTGTTGTTGTCATGCTAGAAGATATTGCTTTAATAATTGGTATATAGTTTTATCATGACAAGTAATTGCTCAAGTTTCGAGTTTTGTTCCGGTTTGGTGATTTTGTGCAGAGTAATGGTCCCTGGACTTAATAAAAATTTACTTAATAATCAGTTTTCCACATTTTTTTTTCTCGTCATGCTTGAATATATTGACTTGATATTTGTTCTATAGTTTATACCATGACAAGTTATAGATCAAGTTAATATTTTGTTCCAGTACAATGAATTATTAACCGGTAGTGGCTATGTATTGCAATGCATTACTTTCAGAATGCTTGTTTTGATAGAACTCCTTTCTCTAAATATCAGTTTAGGAGTCCTAAAATAGTCACTGAATATTTTCGGATTAAGTCAAGGGATACAAAGTTCTCGTTTCTTCAGGAAAGGCGCGGCTACAGAGCTGCCATAAATGGTTGACCTGATTCTAAACCTCAGGCAATGTGTTCATGGAAGTCTATGTCATTTCGTTCATATATTCAAATACAACAATGGGTAAAACTGTATGAATTTTTTCTAATTTTATGTTTAGAACTTGCAATTACTTTAGTAATACTAACCGTTATGTAAGATTAGCAGTTTCGCCAGTAATCATTAGAGTTTGGTTTCCACCTTTGTAGAAAACGAATTTATTCAAGTTTGGGATATACCAGGTGGCATTCATCTTGTACAAGATTAAACTGGAATTCAGTTTTCAATATCTCTAATTTTACACATATGTAGATACGCGGAATTGATTGAATTGACAATACGACAGGAGTATAACATATAAGATGTGGGAAAAAACATATAAGATGTGGGAAAATACTGTGAATATAGTTTCTGTTCTTTTACTGAATATCAGATTGTTGTGGTCTTAAGTTTGCCAAATAAACATGACATTATTCCGTAGTAACAGAAACAATGATTAGAACCAGAAAGAGGACAATCAGCTGGCTGGCTAGTTTGATCATTCGTCAAGGGGGATATTGCAATCAATACATACGATACTCCGATGAATCTCCCAATTCCATATTTATATGCCAAGATGGTGAACATTTGACTCATATTGGTAATACATTTTGCTTACCACATTTCAAGGCGCGGTAGAAGCCTTTCTTTTCTACACACCACATACTTTCCACAATGTGTATTAAGAAATTGCATGATATTCATTAGAATTCAGTTATTGTTAGGGTTTAAATATATGAGTCCTTTATATTGTATTTGGCTCACAGCTTCTACGCAGCTCTATCCGCTTTTAATGGCGGTTGACCCGACAGTCATTTATGACTGTCTTGGTCAATTTGGCACATTTCGCTGCGTTTCCTTTAAATATGCGTCATTTGGCGTCATATTTCATTTAGCATCCAAAACATTTGATATTGTGGGTCTCTGTATCCCAGGACCACCACACAAAAATTTACGAATCTCTGTTTCCCAGGATTCATTTAATTGGATGCTTTATTTATTGTAAATAATTAGTTATCTAGTTATCTATCTATCTATCTAGTTATCTTTTTGTAGTCTGCCAATATGAAAGGTGACTACGTTTAATTAATTATCTATTTACTATATATATATCTTAATTATTTATCTATTTAGTTATCTAGTTATCGTGTCGTAGTTTGCCAATATGAAAGGTGACTACGTTCATCGAATTATCTATTTACTTTACATATATATATCTTAACTGTTTACCTAGTTATATGTGTTTATAATTTTATAATAAAGCTGTGGCCAAATACTGCCAATACCGTGTTTCTAATCATTGCGCATCAATAATAATAGAATTTATGATTCAGCATAAATTCGGTTATTAGTGTAAGCATAGATTACTTGTGTTATTAGCTGTTTCATCTCTATTAAATGTAGGCTATCAGATGTATGTTTGTCAATGCGCAATATGACTGCGCACGCGATCTTTTCATTCCGACATTTGAAAGAAACAGACGGAATATTATTTGGTGATTTAAAGACCCACCCACCCACCACTATGTCTTATACTACCTAGCATAATATATCATGAACATATTTTTGCTGTGTCTTTACTATATTTTTCAGGATGATTCTTGTACAACAGTTCGGATGAACCGTCAACTAAGCAGTATATGTGGAACATCAGATTATTATCTACAGTGTACTTGTCCGTTGTTTGCTAGTATAGCTATGCCATCTCAACGTGTGTTGTGTTTTAAGACTATTTATTCTTAGACATTTATATCTACAGTAATCTGTGACTTCGTTCGTACATGTATCGTGTAAGAACAATTTTTGTACGTGCCGGTTTACATGAACATTCCGTAGTGATATTTAGTCATGGGCACATTTCGCTGCGTTTCCTTTAAATATGCGTCATTTGGCGTCATATTTCATTTAGCATCCAAAACATTTGATATTGTGGGTCTCTGTATCCCAGGACCACCACACAAAAATTTACGAATCTCTGTTTCCCAGGATTCATTTAATTGGATGCTTTATTTATTGTAAATAATTAGTTATCTAGTTATCTATCTATCTATCTAGTTATCTTTTTGTAGTCTGCCAATATGAAAGGTGACTACGTTTAATTAATTATCTATTTACTATACACTACAAACCAGTAAAAGTCTGAAATGGCCTATATTTGTACTCGACTGAACTGATTTTTACTCGACCAGTCTGAATTGGTCTGAAATTTATTTGATATTACTCGACTGTAATCTGAACCATACTAAACAGTCTGAACTTGTACTCGACCTTTACTCGACCAGTACTTAACCATTTTATACGAGTCTGAACCATACTCGACATAGTCTTAACCATTCTCGACCAAGTCTGAACCATGCTCGACCTAGTCTGAATCATACTCGACCTAGTCTGAACCATACTCGACCAAGTCTTAACCAACCTAGACCTATTTTTTGTATCTATCTATATTATTTTTTTCATTATTTAGGAACTGTTATTCATATATATATATATATATATATAAAATGTATATCACATTTAAAATTAAAATAAAACAAGGTGATCAAATTTCTGGTTGGATTAAAAAAATATCATGTAATAAATTAAGTTCGTTAAATGAATTTTCATATACATGATATCATGTTCACATTGATTTATGCATCAAAAATACTATAACTTTCAACCATTATTCAAATACTTAAATGTTATTCAATTTTTTTTTTATCAAAATATATATAAAATAGTATATAAAGCAACTTAATAAATGTTAGAATTGACACCTTTGTTTTGTAAAATCAAAAATTTAATATAATAATAATAATAAAACTTTCATCTTTTTATCCTTGATAACCTTTTAAAAAAGGAAATGTATTCCAAAGTTGCAGTAGAAATTTATTTTAATTAAATTTAAATACGTTTTGTCAAAATTAAAGACATGGCATACAAGAAGCAGTTTAATAAGGTTTAATGGTTTAATTACCTCAGTACAGGTGTTTTACAGGTAAAAAGAAAACCATATTTTTCTTAAACTCGTGTATTACTTATCTAGTGAATTCAAAGGCCTTGTTATTTAAGTTTTACAGGATGTTGTAATTTTCAATGGATGTTATTTAAAATTTATTGCTCTCTGACCAGGTGTGATCTTTTTAATCAGTGTGGGTCAAGCAGGATGTATAACTTTATAGTTTACCCCTAATCAGAAGAAGAATTTTATTCATTTCTTGAATTTTTTATCCCTTTTAAAATATATATATATCCCAAATTATAAATAGGAATAGATATATTTCTGATATAAGGTTAAACAATGTCAGTGATTTTGTTGGCTGTTGTTACCTCATTAAAAAGATAGTTATATAACTATTGTATATAACCATGAAACCTAAGTACAGAAAGTCACAGGACAGAAAGTCACAAATTTGATAGGACAAAAAGTCACAAATAATTTGTATACAATTGATTGAATATTTATGAGAAAGATCTTGAAATGTTTACTTTTTATGACACATATTCATTTTACAGTTTAGGAAATTGTTCATAAGACTTAATTTGATAAATAAAGATTTATAAAATTTTAATCATGCAAAGGATATACATGTATTTCTTGGCACCATGAAGCCATTTAAGTACCAAGACATTGTAATATTTTGTTTTCTTAACAATTATTTGATCATTATTGATATTGTTTCAAGAAAAATACAAAAATGTTTTTTTTTTAAATAAGTGTTCTATTGTTCACATGTTGTTCAAAGAAAAATAACCTCAAAACTGAATTGTGACTTTTTGTCCTGTGACTTTCTGTCCTACATTCGTTTATATTTAGGAATTTAGGAAAATCAAGTTTTGTTTTAAAAAAAAACACATGCCAAACAAAAAGCACCTTATTTTTAATAAGGTTTTATTACCCTCAGTATAGGTGTGGTTTTCAGGTAAAAAAAAGTCTTTTATTTAACAAGACTCAGACTTTAAAATTAGATAATTTAACTATCTCGATTTGCCAAATCTAAGAGAATCATGTATTATTAAAGAATGTAAAAAATGTTTTTATATATATCTTTATTTAATTGTGGCTGTTGTCATGTAAGTTAAAGAGAAAGTTATTTAAACAATCAAAATTATAAAGAAGAGGTTATTTGGTCAAGTATGGTTCAGACTGGTCGAGTATTGTTCAGACCTTTGGTCGAGTATGGTTCAGACTGAAAAAATAGGTCGAGAGCTGGTCGAGTACTGGTCCAGACTGGGTTAAGACTGTTTCAGACTGGTCGAGTAATAGTTTAGACTATTTTCAATAGCAAAGATAAGGGTCAAGTACAAATCAGTACAGTCGAGTATAGTTAAGACTGGGTCGAGTAATATTAAGTAAAATTCAGACCAATTCAGACTGGTCGAGTAAAAATCAGTACAGTCGAGTACAGATATAGGCCATTTCAGACTTTTACTGGTTTGTAGTGATATATATATCTTAATTATTTATCTATTTAGTTATCTAGTTATCGTGTCGTAGTTTGCCAATATGAAAGGTGACTACGTTCATCGAAATATCTATTTACTTTACATATATATATCTTAACTGTTTACCTAGTAATATGTGTTTATAATTTTATAATAAAGCTGTGGCCAAATACTGCCAATACCGTGTTTCTAATCATTGCGCATCAATAATAAATAAAAGAACACTATAACACGTAATTAAGATGATAAACAACGTCAGTACCTAGAATCTATACATCAAGACCGTCATGTATTATTTGTGAAGTTGATACAGAATATTTATCAACAAGGTCTTGGTATCTTCCGATGAACTTTTTTAGAAAAAGGACGGGACAGAACCTTGGTTCATCAACTTTCTGCTCAGACACTGGTGACGTTTTACAAAGTCTGAGTAGCAGCTGCAAGCTCTTGAATACCGAATGATTTGGGAAATGTATATTCTATATGCAGGCGAAGTTGATATATTTCTACTAAGGTGGGGGAAATTTATAATTTCAAATTTAAATCGTCTCGTTGTCATAAATTCTGGTACTGAGATGACCGCTTATGTCAAATTCGAGGTATAGGTCTAAACATGAGGCGGAGGAAGCCGTGTCTGTTGTTTCTTTAATTTCTAGATCTGGAGGATATATTAATGGAACCCAATCAGAAAAGTTTGGATTGTTTATGGAAATAACCTCATCAATATATCTGAATGTGAAATCAAATGATCTGGACTCTTTTGATCTTCTTGTTTTTGACAAGTGTCTGAAGGAACTCCAACTCGTATGAAAATAAGAAGAGGTTGGCAAGGAGAGGCGCACAGTTAGTGACCATAGGAATGCCGACAATTTGTTGAAAAAGTCTACCTCCAAATTCAACAAATATGTTGTCAATAAGACACTCCGGCATACTGACCACTTGTTCCTCTGTGTAGCATGTTTTTACCTTTTTGTTCACTATTAACAAAATCTGCCGTATGGCATATCAAAGTTATAAATTAAAAGCGTATGCTACCATTTTTGTATTGAAAATCATTGTGGATTATTTCTTCTAGACGATTTTTTAATTTCACATGGGGAATGTTGGTATACAGGGTTGAATAATCAAATAATTTTTGTCAATCTAATGGACAATTCCTTTGTAGAACATGCAGATGAGTCGGCAATGTACCGTTGTTTGTACGGAATTTTGTGAAACTTAGGCATCCAATACAATCAAGGTAAGTCCTCAGATTTGCTGTTCAATGTAATGTTCATTGAAGCCATGAAGGACTTATGATTCGCCAAAATTTCATCCTTGTCAAATGATATGTTTTTGTGTGTGGCATTACCTGAGTGCTCATTTATTCCGAATTATTTTACAACACACTCGTAGTAGTACGATTTACATACAAAGACTATTATTTGAAGCTTTGTCTGCAGGAAAAACAACATATTTATCATGAAGAAATGATAGACATTTTACAGCTTCTTTGTCTCGGAAAACGGACTTTGGTCGATCATTCACATAGTTTTTCAACTTATGAATTCGATGTTTTATCAAAGACCTGATTGTTTTGACCCATTCTGACAAAGTGTCTAGTTGAACTTCTGCTCGTAATCCTCAATTGAATCCATAATTATTTTGCATGAATTTATGGTTCCAATTGAAGTGTTGGGGTTCTCTGAACTTAAGACCATGAAATATCACCTTTCGGAGATGTTCATGTTGAATTATACTTAGATCCCCAGCAATAACATGGCCAAAGGGGCTATACATATAAGGCGAGTGGGAACAGTCACATGTCAGAGTTTTTTTTTAGGTATTCTTCTAAATCAAGGTCCTGGTCCTGCAATGCTTGCTTATAGTTAAATATTTTAGGTGCAACGGTTTTGATGTAATTGTAGGATACAATAGGGATAGACTGATTTTGAAAAAAAGTGGAATTTTAGATGTTACCTCCTTGTGATGAAGAACGTTGCTGATATTGATCGCATCAATTCCTTTATTTGAAAACTAAATTGGAAGGAATTTCCCCTTATCATCATGTAAAGGTTCAGTATATTTACTTGCACTTAACTATTTACCCCACATTTGTATATGTTAATTATCTTATCTTTCAAAGCAAACAGTTTATTATTTACTGCTATTATCCTCATAACCAGTCATCAATGGCGTAGCCACTGGAAAATAATTTGTGCGCAGGGGTTTGGGGGGGGGGGGGGGGGTGGCCTTACTTGAAGTAATACTTATCCATTGTCTGAAATTTTAAATTTCAAATTGCATTTCCGCTAACTGGTTCCCAATATTCACATGTGAAAAAACAAAACAGTCGACTTCTGAACCAATTCCGGAAAAGATCGGTTTTAAGTAATGCATAACGATGCGAATATGGAATTAAAGAGGGCAGTTACATTTCATCGACAGTTTTCATTTCTTAATTTCTTAAATATACACGAACGAACTAAATAAACATTAAAGAAAGTAGTTGTTTATATAAATACATTATCTCTTAATTTAAAAGTTGACTCTTTTAAATTAGAGTAAATAAAATAGGCTGACTTCAAGATTAAAGTATTGATAAGATTTACTACTAGTGTTATTTAACTTATACTGGAAAAAAAATCAACTAGCTAATTCCATAAAACGTTGTCTGTGGGATTTTAAACAAAGTTTAAATACAATGTTTATTTTATATCCGTAAAATGTTGTATAAAATATCAGTATGAATATTAAATAAAGTGTATGTCAAAATATTTTATAAAAAACATTAAGCCGATATCTTTCAGATGTTAAATGTAAAACATTTTAATTAAACGTTATAAAACATTTTATGTCAATAGGAAAACAATATTTTCTGCAAAACATTTTTAGCAGAATGTTTTTGGGATATTTGGAAAATATTCATTTTAAATGTTTTAACAATATGAAATACCAATTGAAGAAAATATTATTTATCAGAGCTCTAATTATTTATTTATATAATAGAAATATGTACGGGATATTTCAGAACAATGTTTGAGAACGTGAATAAAAGATATTAGCAAATAATATTTTTTGGATGTTGTAAAAACGTTTTACTTAAATATTAGAATTAAAACATTTCAAAAACAATAACATAAACATTTTTTTGATGTTCAAATGATATTTTATTGCAATGTTTTCGGAAAGACGTCCATATGACATTTAAAATATGTTTTTAAAATGTAATGTGTTTGCTGGGTTTGATAGTTAGAAACATTGAAATGACCGTTCTAGTTATTTTGCTGGAACTCGTATCCTTAATCTGCTGAAAATTTGAAAAATTTGTGTCATTTTAGGGTTTTCTTCATGATAAAATTGTGAACGTTAATCTAATGAAAAATACATAATATCAATTGCTGTAAATAATCCATAATGGTCTGTTACAGGGAATTCCTGTTATCCTTTTTATGTATTATCTTAGTGTTTCTTCAGATTTCATGTTGACATTGCTGAAGTTCTATCATGTCTATCCATGTTAAAAAAAATTCTGATAAATGAAAAGAAAGCTCTTACCACTGAACTACTTACAGTTACATATGTAGGAAAATTGATGCAACAAAACTACACTCGACACTTGTAAAAAAATGACAAAACTCCATTAAGCAAAAAGAACAAAAATAATGCAAATGGCTGCTAGTTACTAATCCTCCATCTTAACATCCCATCAACAATTTACGATAAAAATATGGAAAATCGACAATATTCCGCATGTCGATACGTAATTCGAAACTACATCTATCTGATCCTTGATAAAAATGTATTTGGTTACTATGTACTAAGCGTAAAGATAGCTATTTATTAATGATTTCCTGTACAATCATATTTAAATATATTTTTGTCAACAAAACACTCGTCCTTCAGTAAATGGATTACTGAGTCCCTGATCTTATCTATCATGTCTATTTAATGTTTAATTTAATTATGGTTGGTTTGAGAGCAGTTTTATAAAACAAAAGGAAGATAAAATAGCATTTTTATCCTGACTTTTTTGTCAAGAATTCGCGAGTCTTCCTCCATCTAGGATTTGTCGATCCAATTGTTTTTACCTATATAGTTTCCCATATAGTCACAAAATAGGATTTTTTACCATTGTATACTACAAACCAAATATTTTGCAATGCGTGTAGCATGTGTAGCAGGTAAAAAGTTTGATCTAGAAACTCATTGCAATTCTGAGAAATAAAACTACAGTTTAACATTCTTTTGTTGATATTTCCAGAAAACCGTTAATAATTTTATGCAGTCGTCTTTTTTTTTACCAATCAAATGCATGTAATAATATCGGCTTTTGTATCCCATCTCAAAACATCAAAATAATTAAAAATTAAGGAACCTCTCAGTCCCCTAGTAGTTATGTAAAAGAAACTGGAATCTATGCGTACCTTTAAATTGTAAACAACTTTGGTGTTAAATTAACACAATTAAATCAGGAGAAGAAAGGAAATAGTAAACGTATATGATACCAGTACTACAAAAAACAATAAAACAGCGGTTCTATTGATGTTCTTCATTTAAGAATTGAATGCTTCTTTTTGTAAATTTATTGGGGTGTAAAAGCGTTGACCGAAGTACATTTTGTATCATCCTAAAAATGTGCGCACGGTCAACGCTTTTACAACCCTATAAAATTACTAAAAAAAGCATTCAATACTTATAATTACATTTTTTTGCTAGGATCATGAAAACACGATTTCTATCAAGTTTTTCTTTTATTTACCTGTGCACTTTATTGTGGAAGCTCGTGTCATCATGAATGTTACATTTCATTTTGAAATGAAGGTTAATTACAGAATGACGCGAGATTAATATTGCTGTTAGCCAATCAAAATAACGTATTATAATGAAACATACATGTAATGTAATTATTTCAAATTAGTTAGTAGGGCCGTCCACATGGAAACATGCACATCACTGCAGGTTCAAGACGGTCCTTAGCACTTATTTGAGCGATCGATCACTCAATATACCTGTGCATTGGAGAACACAGCTGCGTGGTAATATTAATAAATAATATTCTTCCGAGAATTTCTAACAAATATTGCTATGAATAAATTCATTGATTGTTGCTCGCTTAACATCTGTTGGCAGCTATTTCAGGTACAGTACATACATTGCCATAAGAATCAGTCACCTGATATTTATTTATGTATATTTCATATAAAAACACAATTATTTTTTTTTAATATTTTGAAGGCATTTATGATTTTTATATATTTTTTTTACATATCCGGTGTTGTTTTAATTTTATTTGTATTTTTTTATTTGATCGAAATCTTATTTCCAGTTGCTTTTGTTTTCTCCTGATGTGAACACAAATAATATTTTTCTAAACCCCACCAAAAAACAATGATACTTGTATTTATAATATCAGAAAACTAAAATGCTTCACAACAAAAATACAACCGGCAAATAAACCTGTGACGTTTCTGCTTTTATCGGTATAATCCAAGTAGAAATGACCCCAAAATAATTTTTGGAAAACGTAGTGTTATACATGTATGTGACGTTAGCGGCCGATTCGTTATTCGATATTCAATAATTTATCCGTTCCGTAACCGAACACAAGAATGCAGGCGTGAGAGAGAGCGTCCCAACTCTTGTAACACGGTTTATGGTTGGCTGAAATTTTCCTTTATATTGGTGGAATTTTCCTTTGTATTGGTGGAATTTCCAACGATTTTATTAGTCAATTCGTGATACAGCTTTAATATACTTTTCGTACTTTCCACGAAATCTTACTTTTGAAACCTAAGGTATAAACCGGAGAACCATATACCTTTCCTAACCAACCGGAAGGCTCCCAACGGAAAGTGTCGAGAATATCCTAACCAGAATAATTCAGTGGTTATAGGTGTCAGACCACCAATTCACCCACTCCAAGTTAGAACATATGTAAAAGAAGCCCTTCCCGGACAAAAATAATGTCATTATAAAAATTAGAAGATGTTATATAATTGCCAATGAGACAACTCTTCACAAGAGACCAAATGACATAGAAGTTTACAACTATAGGTCACCACACGGTCTTCAACAATGAGTAAAACCCAGCTATAAAGGCCCCGAAATGACAAGGTAAAAATATTCAAACGAGAAAACTAGCGGCCTGATTTATGTACAACATAATAAACGAAAACAAATATGATATACAGCAACAAACAACAACCACTGAATTACAGGCTCCTGACTTAGTACAGGCGCATATAGAATGTGGCGGGGTTAAACTAGTTTGAAGGCGCCAACCCTCCCCTAATCTAGGAAAATTGTTTACTTAAACTAACCAACAAATATTCAAAAATAAAACTTTTGAAGAAAGAGAAATATATTTGGACCATTTTGAGCAAAAATTTATTTGTCCATGAGTTTGCATTAAAAAAAAAGGGTTAATGCGCTCCGCAGTATACTTATTTAAGATTTCCTGAAAACTAGGGGTTATTTTTTAGTAGTAGTCGCCTTCCGAACGGTCGTGTTTCACTACAAGATTTTAAACATTGATCGAAAATTGGCATGTAGAAAGGTGTTATGTGTACAATTCAGGATATACATGGCTTCTCTGAGGTTAAACGCAAGGTAAAATATTTTAAAAGCTGTGAAAATTGAAAAAAAAACAATGGTTGAATAGATGGAGATTTTGAACTGGTAGTCTGTCATCTGTGTTCTGCTGCTTTACGATGGCTACATTAACGCCTGAATGCAAAGACAATGAAATATCGTCAAATAATCATTTGGAATAGGCTGAATGTAGCATTAAGCCTTCAGATGATTGGCTCTCTCTCCCAGAGACCACCAATTAAAATACTGGATTCATGATGCGTTTTTATCGTATAAAGAATTCATAACCTGGATCCTGGGCTCTGCTCGACAGTAGAGCTAGGCGGGATACTACGACATGTATTCGTTAATCGGATGTTATAATAATGCATCGAGGGATATCATCATTTCTTGACACATGGCGGCAAATATTTATATTGCCACGAATTTAAAAAAAAAATTAATTCATAAAAATGCAAATCCAGAAAAATATGGCAATAATAATCTAAAACATTATTGATTTACATCGAGAACCAACAGTAAATTAACGATCCGATCAATATATTCATGGTGTATATAACACACACATCCGCCGTAATTCAGTCCGTTTCAGAGCTGAAAAGTCGTCATGTGGACAACGCCTAGCCGTACTGACTCGAAGAGGGGGTTTTGACAGGATGACAGGCTAACTAGTTCTCAACTAGTTCAGGCCCTCACGAGAGAAAGAGTCGATCACGGGGAGAGACTGAATTATTTGGGTAAGGAATATCCAATTAGTCTACCACTATACTACACGCATGTGCAATACACCTTTCAGGCCATTTCCGTATGACGTCACGCATCCCCAACAAATGAGCACTGAACTGCCCATATACTAATCCCGTAAATATCGAAAATTAAAATTGTTAGAAGTATTCTTTTCAACTTTGTTCTTTGATTCTGCCTATTAACCTTCTGATTCGAAATACACTGATGAGTCTTTTGTAGACAAAACGTACGTCTGGCGTACACACAAATTATTAGCCTGATGTACTTATATTGGTTTTATAAAGGTTCACGACTTGCTACAGGCATTTCCTTATGTATAGAAAATGGCGGATTAAACCTGGTTTTAAAGCTAGCTAAACCTCTCACTTGCATGACAGTCGCATAGAATTCCATTATATTGACAATAATGCGTGAGCAAAACAAACAGACATAATAGGTGAAAATGTACAAAATTAGGGGCCACATGAACCTTAAGATCTATGCATAGCCTAACTGTAAACTAAATTTTATAAACATTAAACAGAGGACTCTAAGTCTTAGTTATGTATTCAAATCTTTTGTTGTTGTTTTTATTATGGGCCGGCACTAAGCCGATCCATCATATGATATGGGTTTGAGATTCACGGTAGGTATAGTGTCCGGCTAGGATCGTGGTTTTTCGAGTGATTTGATCGGGTTTTTTCGAGTGATCCCTTTTTTCGAGTGAATATGATAAAAAATGTAAACAAACAGACTTCCTTTCTGACAAGACGTGATATAGAAGCTTGGGTTTAATATACAAGGATATACAAGGTGTGTTAGTATTTGAGATAAAAAAAAAAAATATTATCAATTCGACATCATTTTTCGTTAAAAAAGTTGAATTTAGCCTTACAATGCTTTTATTCCAAAAAACAGAATAAAACCATTTTTATACAAATACCAATGCAAATTTCGATGGAAATGCATACATGGAATCCATATATCCTTAGATATACAGACACTTTACAAAAATTCTTGTTATTGCATTGAAAACGACATTTTAAGACTAAATTTATTTCTATGTGTTCGGTTTTTTTCGAGAGCAGTCCGGGGTTTTTTGAGTGCGTCCGTGTTTTATCGAGTGATTATACAACTTTCCTATAGCTTAAAATGTTATGTGTAAGTATATTTAAGTTTAAAAACAATAAAAAAGGGTTCAAATTATGTACTTTTTAAGGCACGAAACCAATGCATTCATCAGTTTTATAAAGGTGTACTTACACTTACATTTTATAAACAAGTATCGTTCATATGTTTATATTGTTGTTTGTCACATCTTACAAATTACATGTACAGTATATATTCATGATGCCAACAATCTATTGTAAGCATAGACGTACGTACATGTACATGTACAGTATATATTCATGATGCCAACAATCTATTGTAAGCATAGACGTACGTACATAGTAGTGTGTTAAGCTGATGAACTA